TTTCTTAAGGCTACATTTCAACTATGATGCTTTGTGTTTTTATTTAATTATTTATTTTTTCTTACCATAGACTTCGACAACAGAGCTTACTTTCTACTGTTGCAATCTGAATCGAGTGTCAGCCTTTTCCCCCAGAATTCCACGCTATATGTGAGCATAAACAGACTGAAGTGTGCATTCGTGGAAACATGACTCCATCTGCCCCCTTCTACTACTTGTTCTCTTTGAATCCCTACGCAACGGCAAATAAATGCATTTATGTAGCACTGACACCTTCGTCTGCCACCTCCGGAAAGAAAGACAGTTCTTATATAGAAAGGGAGCAATAGAAAGGAAGAAAGATGAAAGATCAGAGGAGACGGATGGCACCGCTCTGCCTGCCGCCATCTTTTCACCTCAAATGACTCTTAGGCAAGCAGAAGCCAAGCTGCTGTTCCAACCACAACGACTGACCTTTGGAATGCAAACAAACCCGACTGCAACTAATCAAAAAAGAAACAATCTGGTCCAAATAATTATCACAAGGAAACCTCAACTACTGTACATTTCACCCCCACCCCCCATCCAGCTCTTTTCTCATAGATGATCCATGGCTTTATGTTTTATTACCGTTGAGGGTTTTTGAGGTTTTTTTTTTTTTTTTTTTGGAACGCTAAGAAACTGGGAGGACTCATTTCATGCTGAGCAGAACATGCTGGAGAACTCGAGCTTGTTCTTAATCATTCCTCCAGGATATAAACAAAAGCATATTTTCCCATAGATGCTTTAATCATAGATTATCTGGATGAATTGTAAAATCTACTGGATCAAAAAAAAAAAAAAAAAAAAGCGTTTTTCTGAAACCTCTCGTAGAAATGAGCTCACCTGCTGCTCTGTGATCAGATTTCTGGTGGTTTCGACGGACTCTTGGCAGTAGCAACGTCATATCAAGCCACATTTCATTTGAGCTTTTATTTATTTATTTATTTATTTATTTTACACATTTTTTTTTCTTCCCAATTTAGCCATAGCAAATTTCCATTTCTCTATCGTTCAACTGTTGCCGGTCCAAAAGGTTGAAACGTAATCTGTGCTTCCTTTAAGACATATTAAGTCACCTCACCTTTTCGTGTGAGTCACTAGAGAAAGTTAATAGTCTCTTTTGTATACAAGAGCTAACAATCATCTGTAACTGGCAGCGAAGTCAAGGCTACCTGGCTAAGTGGAAAAGCAGTAAAGCATTCAAATTCGTACCATTTGTAGTTCACAAATTTGACTCATTTGACCATAGCATCCAAAAACAGAGGTTCTTTGGATAGTGGAGCATTCCTCCATCACAGTGCTGTTGAATACTCAGTTATGATTAGTCAGAAAGTGTTGATTCAGCAACTCTGACCGTATTTCCAGTTGCAAGGTTCATATTACTGTACGTTTGCTGTTATGTGTTATCTTTCTATAGTAACAACTAACATAGGGACTTGTATAGTAGACACTCTAATTTGCTGTAGGAAAAATGGAACAGTTGGTTTATCATTTATGGAAGGAGTCTCCAGTGTGAGTGCTTTGTAGCGTTTACATTACATTTACGGAATTTGGCAGACACCCTTATACAGACTGCCTTACATTTATCTCATTTATACAGCCAAGTGTTAAGGCCCCAGCAGTGGCAGTTTGGTGGTGCTGGGATTTGAACTCACAACCTTCCAATCAGAAATCCAATGTCTTATCCGTTGAGCTGCTACCACCACCTGAACCCCGGTGAAGGAATGACTGTTTATAGCTGTTATAACCTAAGTGATAAAAGAAGCTAACTTGTTTTGTGGACGTTCCACAACAGTGAATGTAACAATTAATGGATAAAAGTACAACGTGTCATTCTTTAATAAATGAAAACAATAAGATGTGATATCACACCTCCCCGTCATTCATTATTTCCATATAACAGCATGCCCATATAAGCATTCCTTGGAACCGCCTCTGATAGAGAACCACAAGGGTTTTACATCGAAAATTTGGTTCGTCCCAAGCAACAACTACAACCATTAATCCTGCGCCTCATTACTAACCGTAATTATTTGTGTATAGTTAAATTAGAGTTCTTATTAACGTACAATCATGAGACTGTGTTGTGTGAGCTAAACTATTTCTGGACCAGTGATGGGCATTAAATGATGCCAGCTGCCTTGCCAGGCAGGATCGAATGTCCTGCAGTGATGAGTCAGTGAGTGCAAACGAGTCAGAGGTCAGAGATTGCAGCAGGTTAAAGCACACGCTCTCCTGGCCTCGAATTACAAAGCACCGCTTACTTCTGCGACAGTAAAAAAAAAAAAAAAGAAAAAAAAAGTGAGGAAAGAGTTGGGATGTGGAGGACAATTGAAGAGTAACAAAGGGAAGACAGAATGAGCCAGAGACCATCAGATGAGCTGAATCAGATTGAGGAGTAGAAGGAGATGGATCGGAACAAAGAAAGCAGATACAAAACAAGTGAGGACGGAAGATTGAAGATGGGATTGGAACGAGGATGAAGCGATTTCAATTTCCCCTCCTCGTCCTTTTCACCTTCCAACACAACTCAATCTGTGAATCATTTTATTTTTGTATGAATCATGCGCAGATGTAACAGGTGATGTTATAATGACTGTAATAAATAGTAACAACGTCTTAATAACACATCGTGGCAACTTTCTTTCCTCTGATCCTAGTTGTGCTTCATAGATCTGAGAACTTACTTTAGAAAAGCTCAGCCCCTGTATCGTTCCCTGAGTTACTTTGTGTTCAGAAAGTCCTGGAATGTATTTTGTTATCCATAAATCATCCTGCTACTGACAACTGAAAGTACGCAGTGTCCCAATAATCTGTCCATATGAGCAGACTGAACAGGGGAAGACTGCCATCTCTCAAAAGTTCTACGATCACACTCAAAAATGACTTATTTACTCAAAAAATCCTCTTAGAAAGAGGATTTAAAACTGGCTTGCATTAACAGAAAGAAATATACTACAGAAATATACTGCCAGTGATCTAGCTAGATAGCTTCAGCATGAAATATGATACAGCTAATAAATATGACGTTAAAACCTCTTAGAAATCGTGTTTAGCTAGCTCATGTCGGTTAGATGACTAGCATTATGAACATTTGAGATATATGTAAATTGAAATACCTGTCATGCTAGCTCGCTAGCCTAGATTAGCAGCAAGAAATATGCTAAAAGTTGAAATCCTGTCGTTTTGGTTTGTTAATGTGTTTTGAACTTTGTTAATGTGTTGGCTCACAGACAGGGTTAGCATTCATACCTTTTGCTTGTGGTCTCATTCAGATGGAATTGAATGAAATCCAATTTATGTATATAATATATACATATAATATATGTAGATATATTATAATTGCTGGTACTCTAATGCAGAGACAGGTATTGTATACGCTCCTAACTTAGATTAATTTTTTTTTACATTTATTTATTTTTTATTATCATTTATTTTATTTGGTTTGGTACGTAGGGTTTTGGTACTTACCCTAACCCTAACCCTAATTTGTTTTTCTTTGTTTGTTTTTTTTTCTTTTTCATCTTCTCAATGAAATTTTCCCTTGGGAAAGGGAAGGGAGGAGAGAAGAGAAAAGGTAAATGAATCACATGTAATTGAATCATGTAAATGAATCGCATGAATATGAATCACATGTAAATGAATCATATGAAAATGAATAAATAAATTAAAACGATAATCGATGCAAAAAAAAAAAGGAATTGAATGAAATCCAACCACACTTTATTTATTTATTTATTTATTTTCAAATCCTAACCATGCATTTCACATGAGATCAGGATTAGCCAAAATACCTCATCATGATAGTTTTACATATGACTATGGATTCTCCCAAGCGGAACGAACACAAAGAAAATGGCTTCATTCCTTCCGGATGGGATGGAGTTTCGATCTGCAGGTGCCACAAAAACCCCTCTGCAAGGTCGTTACCATCACGAAAGCTTCACAGAGAGAGCCCAGATGGCACAAGCAGTGCATCAGGTGTGCAAAATGAATAGGAATATCATCATAAAGTCAGTGATTAGCAAGTCTGCACACAGCTGTGTGTAGAAGTTCGATTTGTACCTCAGTTTTCGGTACCAAATGAGCAAACGCTATAAGGTGAAGCGAATTTAGAGTATCTCCATTTCCCTGGCAAGGTGTTCAATTGAAAAGGCAATAATCCTTGTCCATGAAAGTGTTCTTACTTCTCGTGTCGTTTTTCACCGAGTTCATCAGAATCTGGCGGATGCCGAGTGTGAGAAATACGCTGAGACAGCCAGGTTGATGATGACGGTGATCGGATCTAAAGTCTTTTGGTTATATCTATTGCAAGAGGTATCATGTGTCAGAACACTGGGTCTTAGAAAGGATTGTAAAACCATGATTAGTAAGAGTGCTTTGTAATCCATAAGTAACATCTAATCTGCAAGTGAATGCAGCTGTAGAGCTAGACACGATTACTCGTTGGACGTAAAGCTAGAATCTGGTCTCGTCTTACACGTCATGAGAAAAGCAACGACGCATCATTTGAAGGGCAAACAGGAAGCATGATGCAGCAAAAGCTAGCCAACAGACAGCACTCGGGTCATCCTGTATGTCATTGTCTCAATGACATATGAAAGGGTACAATCTCTGCTGTAAGTGCATCGATGCAGATCTGAGCAATAATTTTCAACGCAAGGTGTCCTTTACTAACACGTTTCTGAAGGGAAGTGTTCATAGCGCTACATAAGACCTGCATAAATCATTCATGACACTAGATTACTTTATGATGACACTTATATTCCAGCATCTTAACAACTGGTTTTGTGGTGCAGTGAGTGCACTTCGAATAATGTTAATTATTCGTCTATATACATCCAGTAGAGCACAGTGAAATTGTTTTCTTCACATACCCCCAGCCTGTCAGGAAGCTGGGGTCAGAGCGCAGGGTCAGCCATGTTATGACGCCCCTGGAGCAGAGAGGGTTAAGGGCCAAGGGCCCAACAGTAGCAGCCTGGCAGCTTGCTGGGGGCTTGAACCCCCGACCTTCCGATCAGTAACCCAGAGCCTAAACCACTAAGCCACAACTGCCAAGCCAATGGTGTCAAATGGTGTCAAATAATGTCAAATGGTCAAACTCACAACCAAACTCCTGCTAATATAGGGGCTGAGAAAATATAGTTGACTCCGTGTCATGTCATGTCATGAAGTTGTCATAACGTTACATAAAAAGGTTATAAATGGTCACAGCCATGACAATCACAACACAAATGTATACCACTTCAGTCTGCCGTTATTTCTTGACATCAAAATTGATATAATCTTCATGACGGCTGATATTTATTGTAATCAACCTTCATACATGGTTATGCATGTTTGTTAGTTGTCATAAGGCTTACGTGGCACTATTAGCACCGCCGTTATATATATTAAGCGTTACCTTTTTATCGTTCTTACCCGTAGGACACACGTTGAATGAAGCTAAACGCAGCTGTATTTACTCGTAATATAAATATCCCTTTGGATGTATGAACAGAGAAATGTTGAGGGCCATTTTAATTCGTGCTTTTAGTTTTACGAGACAAGTTTGCAAATTGGACACAGATTCAATCTGTCAAGCCACAAATTCAAGCAAACCTATGCTAATGAGATTTACCAACCAGGCTGCACCTGTGAATACGACATAATCTGCAGTAAAGCACATCACGGAGTATGTAATAAGGCTACAACATGAACAAAAAACAAACAAACAACAACAACAGGCCAGAAAAAACGATCTGTGGGTAAATAACTCGCAATAATAATAAGATGAAGAACGCAGTAGTGGTCAAGATTGGTCACACCTTGGGGCAATTTAGCACATCACTTCCACCTACCAGAATGGTTTTTGGGAGATTGGAGGAAACCAGAGAACCCTGAGGAAACTCACTATGGACATGGGGAAAACATGTGAAGTTATACCCAGACAATAACGTGACCTCAGGATTGAATCAGGGACCCTGGAGCTGTGAGGGAGCAACACTAGATCCCAAGACATCAATCTTCCCATCCATTCATCTCAAATCTGCCCTTATTTCCTTATACACACTGAAAAACTCAGCTTCAGTGGGCTGTTGATCTCACGATCGCAAATTCTTACTGAAAAAATTAGGAAGGTTATGATTAGGGTTTTAGAGTTGGGATTTTTTTTATAATGCCATGTAATACATATGAAATCGGTTGGTTTATATTTCTCATGAGATCATCTCTCAAGAGGGACTCTCTGTGAAAATAAAATGCGGACGAAGAAATATGAACGTAAGGATAACTTTTAGCATATTTAGCTTATCTGGAGTGTCCAAGTCCTTCTGTGTGTATGACGTGCAAAAGGTCGTCCTCATCTGCACGGGTTTAGACTTAAAATAGTAAGACAGACTGCGTTTATTTTTCTATTTATTTGCAATATTCCTGCACTCTTCGTTTATGGTGTTTGGATGGCGTGGGTGTTTGTGCTGATTTTCTCCCCTGTAATTGGTATATTTGTGCGTGTTCAGCTCTCCGTGTGTAGGCTGGGTGCATGTGAGTGTGTGAGGGCGTGTTTGTGCTGAACGCCCACTGCACAATGTGAGCCGGGCTCCCACACTGAGATGGCCGTCTGCTCTAATGAAGTGGAAGTGAGAATGCTTATTTAGAAGTGGCAGCAAAATGGCTAATTGAGTGTGGCAGTGTGTGTAAGTGACCTGATCCACCCTTCGAGCTCAGCTACGGACACGTTACACCACTGGTCTTCAGATCAGCTGTTCCTTCTGCTTTTTAGCAACGATTAATATCTGCTTTAACAGGGGTTATAACGAGGCGAAACTGATCCGAGTTGAGCACGGTGGTCAACGTTAGTGATTGGGATGCGGTTGGAAGACCGTTTCAGAGTCTTTACTGATTTTAAATTGGAATTAAATTCGAAGCGGATCTCATGAAACGCACGCACCACTGCATTTGATTTCAAGTTAAATGAACTTTAATACCTGCAAGTTATTGTGGCCTAATAATAGACAGATTTTAAACATGGGAAGAAAAAAAGTCTCGTCACCGATTCGGTGAGATTTTTGATTGCCTCGCACATTTGCCTCGCACCTCCGGCGTCAGGGGTTCGATTCCCACCTCTGCTCTGTATGCGTGCGAGTTTGCATGTTCTTCCCATGCTTCAGGGGTTTCTCTAAATTGCTCATAGTGTGTGAGCGTGCGTGTGATTGTGCCCTGCGATGGGTCGGCACACTGTCCAGGGTGTCCCCCGCCTTGTGCCCCAAGTCCCCTGAGATAGGCTCCAGGCTCCCCGTGACCTTCGTAGAGTAACACGGATGGGCGTACTCTCTAATATCAGTGTTTTGTACCAGTCAAATATCAAGCAGTAAGTTTTCGGCTACTTTTTGCGTTTTTTTGGTTTCTCAGCTACAACAAGCTACAAGAATTTGTCTGATTTACTTATTCACTTCAACAGAAAGTGAGGAACCAACAGCGATAATAGCTATAATAATCATTCTTTCTTTCTTTGGGACACCTATGGTGCAGTACATGGCACTATTTCGCATGCTTCACAAGTCACAAGACCCACCCACATGATGGGAGACACTCACTCACACACACACACACACACACACACTGTAAACGGGGACTACTGCAGGAGCTGAGCTCACAAAGCAGGAACTGTCTCTTTATACAAAGGCAAGACTACCTCGTCTTTCAGCTGTAAGGAGGAGTGTGTGATTTCATTTTGTGCTCTGTCTGTGTTGGTGGCGTGTATGCGTGCGTGTCCACACGCGGACAAAGCCCCTACTCATAACTGAAACGGACGGGCCGAGGCAGCACACACTGACTCCAGTGTGTCACTGGGGAGAAGTGGACTGATGATGCAGCTCATGTGAAATGTGCTCCGTTAGCTTTACAGGGTAGGGGAAGGTAGTGGTGGTGGTGGTGGTGGTGTTGGGGGGGTTGGTAAGGGGTAAGGGGTGGCAGTTGAGAGACGTGTACAGCGTGCGATAGAGACATTTTCACATGTAGGAACTTTATCTTAATGATAGATCGTTGGAGAGAAGCTTCTAGAAAGCAGGAACCCGATTATGTGGTGTGGTAATTAATTATGACCAGGACAAGAAAAAAAAAACAAGAAAGACCAGAAGATGATGAAGCATAGGAGTAAATAATATACAGATTCTGAGCTGCCTGGTGATGTCATCTGTGAGGACTTTTGGCAGGACTGACTGTTGTGTGTGTGTGTGTGTGTGTGTGTGTTGGAATGCCTCCCTGACACCATAATCTCTCCAAATTACAGACTCCACGTGCCACCCGCAAAGGAGTCATTTAACCCGCACACTCTAATGAACGCTCCCCCTTACACACACACACACACACACACACTCACTCATCTGCATTCCAGAGCGAACTCCTCTCTTCGCTGAAGAGACAGAATGGATGTCCCCGAATTCCACAATCCTGACACGAGAACATAGACAACAACATGTTTCGGAAAAACCGGATAAAGTCAGCTTCGACTTCGGACACTTCGATAACGTTCTCCGTCCTGACCGGGACACACCGTGTCTCGTTGTCCCCAATAACGCCACTGTCTCAGAGTCACGGCTCTCCGTACATCCTGCGCTCGTTGCTAGCTCTACGATCACCAGGAACGTTTGGCCGACATGTCACATGAGAACAACTCCATAACCACAAATAGGAGAAAAGGTCCAAGCTTCCCCGAGCGTTATCCTCTTTATTACGAAGCGATCTCCATCCTTCATGCGGTCACTGAGTACAAAGTATATGGAACGGGGCTCAGATCTCACACCACACACACACACACACACACACACACACAAATTTCAGCCAGACTGGTGCAGACGGCAGTAGGAACTCAAATGGGTTTAATCATTTCCTGAGGGCAGCTCCAGTATAAACATCTGGAGTCGGGTCATCATAACCGCACATCCAAGGACACACAACGTGAACGAGCGAATGTGGACCCCAAACAGTTTTCCAGTTCTAAACACTCTGCGACGAACACTGATTTCGAATGCTGAAGTTGACAAATTATCAATCAAACCTTCTGCTGCAGAGCTACAAGCAGAGCATATGCGCAGTTCCCTGCATCAACAAACCCCCTCCCACACACACATACATACACACACACACACACACACACACACATTATATATATATATACACATACACACACATATATATAAATATATACACACACATACACACAGAGCTTCCCAACACACAACAAGAACAAGTACTTACTCTGCTCCAGTACGGACTCCACTGACTGCTGCAAAGGGAGCAAGTGAACGCTTCACACTCCTCTCTCACACTGCCTCTCTACTGCTCTCTCTCTCTCTCTCTCTCTCTCTCCCTCTCTCTCTCTCTCTGGACTCTACCGTGCTGAGATAGAGCGTGCGCCATAAAAGGCAGCCCAGCTAAACATGTCACATGTAATTTATCCACGGCAGGCGGCAGAGCTTCACCTTTCCGAGTGTGTGTTTGGAGAGAACGGAGTTCCTGCGAAACTTCAGCTCTTGCAACCGGGTATCTGTATGTGTATGTGGGAGTGTGTGTGTGTGTGTGTGTGTGGGTGTGTGCGAGAGTGTGGGTGTGTGTGAGCTGTCTAGACCAAGCATGCCAATTACAACACAGTCCTAACAGTGTGTGACTCTTTTCCGTCCCTAGAGAGAATGCAGTGTGAATTGAGTGCCATGAATAGAAATGGTTACACACACACACACACACACACACACACACACACACACACACACATGGTGTGATATGTTTCAGTTATGCATGGACACATACACACACACACACACACATACACTTAAACCATATTCCTCACATTCCTCAGACAGACAGAAAGAGTCTTACCTCACATCAGTGAGCAGCATGTGTGAGCGAGCGGGATGAGTGTGTGTGTGTGTGTGTGTGTGTGTGTGTGTGAGAGAGAGAGAGAGAGCGGTGTGTTCAGACACAGGCGGACGGGATGGGCAGAGTTGCTGGAGCTGAGAGGCTCATTGTTCTGACCAGCAGTGTGTGTGTGTGTGTGTGTGTGTGTGTGTGTGTGTGTGT